CAGTTCCATTCCCCCAATCATCGCATCATATTCTAACTCCAACGAACCAGACGTGTCCCAAATTCCCTCAAGCAACTCCACTAACTAGCTTCAACATGTTTTAAAAAAAAAATCTTTTTATTTTCTTTTTTTTAAAAATGTACATCAGTCGCTTGTTGCCTTTTAATACCTGTGTCGTGCCTTTTCAGCTTAGAGGCCCCATCCCTTAGCCCTGACCCTCCAAACACACCAAACCTGTCATTCCTTGCAGGACATAGTCAATGTCCCTTTTTCACCTTTGCACATAACTTACTCCTTGGTGGTGTCTGAGATAAATTTTTTTTCAGATGTAGTCTCCTCCCATAGCCACCCAGCTTCTCTGTGAGCACTTACAGACCAGGATGACAGTATCCCACCACATGTTTAATCCATGCTGTGGTCTAAATAAATCACTGTGTGGCCCATCCGTTGAGGTATGTCTCCCACGTGCTAGGAGTGTGAGACTTCTCAAGGAAAAGGGCTTTTTTAAGGAATCTAATTGGCATCTGTTGTACCTTACAAGTATGACAAGCATACCTTAACAAAATTTAAAAGAAGGAATGATTTTTATCCTTGTCATCCTAATCATGGCCATAAATCTGCCTGTAACTCAGGCTCTGGTCTAAATCTGTCCATATTTTTAATTTTCCCCTCAGTGGGACTCAATGCTTTCATCTGTATGGCTTTAAGACCTAACCAAACTCCTTAGATGCTTACATTTGTTTAACTCTAAGCCTTATTTCAACCCAAAGCATAGTCTTTACTTAGAAACATTCGATAAGCCACTGGCAAAGAGAAAAGAGCACCAGGCTTTGCTAAGACAGGGAATAGAATTCTGGCTTAACCATTAACTACACGTGTAACCCTGCGTAGCTTGTCCTTTGTGGGCCTCGACTGTCTCATCTGCACAACGGGGATTAGAATGCCTGTGTTGTAGGGACACTGACAAGACTACACAAAACAGTCAGCACTCAATAAACAGGGGTCAAACATAGATCGATACATACCCTTCTCTCAAAACTTAACCTCGCAACTCATTTGTGAACTGCAGATAAGTGATAACGCTAGGGACTGGTGGGAGGATTAAATCAGATTAACTGGAGAATTCTTTTCCCCAAATTCTCTCCTTGTTTTAATTTTAGATGTGACTACAAATTTTGGCAAATTCATCTGTGACAAAGTACAGAGAATGTCATGAGGTTTGAGAACACTGATCCTGAGTTAAGAGAATCAATATTCTCTTGATCCAGTATTGGACACATCCTTACAGTCATTCTTTACCAGGACCCATGTCAGCCTGGACTTGGTTTCTCTTTTGTTAACAGCTATTCGTTTCGCTGCTTTCAAGTGCCTTCTGGGACAGCTTTAGAACTGAGGGCAAACCTGTCCTCTAAAATCCACCAGCAGTCTTCTGCAACTGCAGACATTCCAGACAAGGGGCTCAGACCACTCCCAATGCCTCACCTTTTAATTCTCGGGCTTTGGTGTCCAACATTTTCTTTTCTTCCTCATTCTCACTAGGAATTCCTTCATCTTCATCTCTGTTCCTAATACAACCCAAACAAGACAGAACAAAAAGTTCGTAAGATGTCGATTACTCTGGTCACAGTACAGCCTATTATGAAAACACACAGAGACATCAGGAGGGCTGGGAAGGGTGGGGCCTGGTGGTTAACTTACAGGGTGTTGATTGTATCCTGAATGATCTGAATCCAGCTGTTTCGTTCCTCTTTGGAGCTGGCATGGACTTCTACCATCTCTGGATCTTTCATCCCCATGCTGATCAGGAATAAACCTTTCTCCTCGTGTGCCACTTCTCTCACAATCAGTTTCTTTAAAGAGATCACTGTTGACTTCTGGTCCTGGAAAAAGGGAAGAGGGCAAATAAAAGATACATATACAATATTCTAACTCTTAAGGACAGCTTAAATCTAAGGTAAGACTAGATGCTGTTAAAAAAGCACACAGTTTGAAAAACAATGGCTGCTTTAGGATAAAGAGAAATATCTCATTTCATTCAGATTTTAACAAAGATTTTCAAAAGGGAAATAGTAATTTATGGCTCTAAAGGTTCCAGTCATGTTTTCTACATGATGAATCTTTCCAGGTTCCCCAAAGAATCCAGTCAGCAATATTATACATGAGCATCATTTACGGGCTCACATGTGAGAAATACTCCAGTGACAGGTTTCTTCATAGGTCAAATAGTCAGATGTCCAAGACACTAAAAGAAGACTGTGATGAAACAGAATAATAATTTTTGGGGAAGAGGGGATGCCAGAAAATTGTAAGGGCGTGTGGGAAATTACTCAGAGGAATTTGTCCTGAGCCATTAAATTTTAAGAGGGCTGGGGAGAGCAATAACATAGTGCTTACATTCCATAACTAACCTAGGTGCTTATAATACTATTACAAAAATAACAATTCAGCTTACCAATGAGGCAAAGATGTACTTCTGGTCTTTTTCTTGAAGGAAAACTAAAATGTCAGTGAGAAGAACTGCTTGAACCTCTGGAAAATGGAAATGGGAGAAGGGAAGATAGAACAATGACTACTTAATAGTTACCACAGTCAGAAGGGTTTTTATTGAAGGTGCAATGCATACACCCCCATAAGGGCAAACTATGATCTGAGATCACACTCCTCCAAAGCAACAGTTTTACAGTTCTCCAGGATTCACATCTGGTCACCAGATTTTTTAGCAGCATTTTAAAATGGGATTTATCACCAAAGCCTTGTTTTGGAAAAGTTTAAGTACTCAGTCCTAAAAAGATATATCCCATAAGACAAGAGTTTAAGAATAAAATACTTTTAAGAATAAAGCTGAAAAGCTGGACTTGTACAGATGTTAAACAGCAACACAGAGCAGGATACTCCAAAAAATACTCAGGTTGCAATATTTTTTGACTTCTGATTACAGTAATGGGAAAGGTGTGGGGCAGGAGACAGCAATGCTGCCCAAAGATGAAGTATAGAAATATCTAAGTCTAATGAAAAGATGTCCGTCTTCCACACCCTCAAAAGAACAAAGAGTGGCCACACAGGCACCTTCTAGTCTTACAGGTACATGTGAATATAGGGCTCTTTCCTCAGCTCCATATGCAATAGTCAACTTAAACTCTTGCTCTGACTAATCCTCTAGGAGTAGGTAGTAACATTTTCCACTAGTCTCTTGAGGATGGTTTGATGTCTCTGGAGTTGAGTCTATAACGAGCTGGCAGGCTGGCCCCTATGTAACATCTTCACTGTGGAAAGTGAAGTCCACGATTCCCTGGGAAAGGATGGAACTGACTTACGCAGTCCATGCCCCACCTTTTCTTCTACCTTTGCTGCAACTGGAATTCCCTTTCTGTGGAATTCACTGCAAAGCTATGAAGAAAACAGAAGCAAGGACATCTGATTCCTAGGGAGGTCTAATTTTTTTAGGCTAAACTACTGCAATTTTCTGTGTACTGCCATCAGTTATGAAAAAGTTTTTTTTTTTTTTTTTTAAAGTTTACTTTTAAATAATTCAGGTGCCTGCATCCTCTCCCTCCCCCCAAATAAGTGAGACACAAATTTTAACTTCATTGAATCTTGAAGTTTATACGATCAGTGTCAGTGGATCAGAAAAAAACAATCCCACCCTTTTTTTTTTTTTTTTTTGAGACGGAGTCTCGCTCTGTCACCCAGGCTGGAGTGCAGTGGCCGGATCTCAGCTCACTGCAAGCTCCGCCTCCCGGGTTTACGCCATTCTCCTGCCTCAGCCTCCCCGGTAGCTGGGACTACAGGCGCCCGCCACCTCGCCCGGCTAGTTTTTTGTATTTTTTAGTAGAGACGGGGTTTCACCGGGTTAGCCAGGATGGTCTCGATCTCCTGACCTCGTGATCCGCCCGTCTCGGCCTCCCAAAGTGCTGGGATTACAGGCTTGAGCCACCGCGCCCGGCCAATCCCACCCCTTTCAAAGAGTACCTAACATAGTACTGGCTGTACTTGGCATGAATTCACTTGGGGGTGAAAATGACTAAACACCAACTCCTATCTCTACTGGAGGCATTCTAGGCCACAAAACCTATCGTTCTGCCATGGCTTGACCACAACTTTATTCCAACAGCTGGGATCTACTAGTTTTTATTTTGGACATAAATAAATTGCTATGTAAAGGAAAGAATAAAGCGCTGGCTCCAGGCAGCAGCAGCTCTAGGAAATTCAGGCCTTTACAAGAAAAGGCAGGTATTTCTGAACTGCAAGCCTGCTTAGAAGTCTCAAAGAGAGCTAGGGCTCTCGCAACATCACAGAATATTAGGACTGGAGGGAAGGAGCCTTAGTTCGAGTTTATCACAGAACAATGAAATACACAGCCAGTTGGTGGTGGGAAAGGAGATTTCTTTCTCTGAATCTTTTCTGCCCTTCTTTTTTATGCCTTCTGTTACAGTGCAGGCCCAGATGAGCTCTTCCCCAAAGCACTGCACAGTCTCTTGATTTGTCTGTCACCAGTCTCTCTTCACTCCAGCTGCACTCTAAACTGCCCTTAGTTGTTATACTGAAAAACCACCTCATGTAGCATCCCTTTCCTGCTTGCCGTTCTCCTTTTTGAACCCATTCTTTGCCCCCCTCCCTCATCAATAGTATCAACTGTTAACCAGTCCTAAAAAGATATATCCCATAAGACAATATTTAACTCTAAGCCTTATTTCGACCCAAAGCATAGTCTTTACTTAGAAACATTCGATAAGCCACTGGCAAAGAGAAAAGAGCACCAGGCTTTGAGAGTCCCGGGTGTCCACTCTTCCCTGGACGTGCCACATCCTTTCAACTCGATGCTTCCACTTTCTCTACCTTAGTGGGGGGAGCACTTTCTCCTTACGTACCAGGTACCTTCCTTGTCATCCTTCAAGACTTGACTCTAATGCTATTCCTCTTGCTTTCTCCTCCATCCCAGCACACATCACACTGTAGAGCAGGTACCTCTTTCCAAGGCTCTTCATTTTGATTTCAACTTCTAAGCAGGGTGTCCTGCTTTATTCATTGTTGAAACCAGTTGATTGCCTGGAACTTCTTTACTATTTGTTCTAAGCATGGGTATTTCCGACAGCAGTTACCTACATCATCACTTACACCTCAGAAACGAAAGCAGCACACATTTCCTCCACCTTCTTTCTATACTGGTGAGGCTGACAGCACTGGCCTAGCCTGCTTCAATGTCCTCAGCTCACTGAGGCCAGGGTGAAGGGGTGGGTATAACTCAAGGCTATTGGTGTAACACATAGACCCATGGAGTATAGGTTTGATGAAAACAAACAAACAAAATCAAATGTACAGATAAATTAAAAAACAAGCCTCACAGCTTCATTAACTTGACACGGCTGACCATTTGAAATGTAAAAATTAAAACCAAATGGAAAATGGGCATCCTTTATGATTTCTTTTGTTTTAAAGATATATGTATATCATAAAATATAATAATAAATCTAACTGATGTGGGTTAAACTTAACTTTCTATTAGGTGTCTGGAGCTGCAAATTCCTCTAACATTGCTGTGAACAAGCCTGTGAACCTCTAACATCGCTTGTGAACAAGTGATGTGTTTTGAATTCACAGATTCTGTGAAACTGTCGCTGATTGTGTCTCCCTCCTTGTGAGTTTTGCCATAGACCCCAATTCCAACCTGGCTGTCCATCTCTTGTAGGGGAATACACCTTCCTTGACAGCTTGCATATGTGCACTAATCTTATGCTTTGCTTTGTTTTTTTAAAATCTTATTTTCCATTTTCCCTGACTGCATCATTTCTTTGTCATCTTGCTCTATTTTGTATGATTTTGTAGGCCATCACAAACCATTTTTGATATAAGATTATGAAGAACTAAATGCTTGTTGCTCCTGGGTGGTGTTTGGAGATGGGCTCTCTGAGAAAAAATCTGGTAGTGAATTTCCAACAAAAGCACTTGGATTTTGCCTGTTGTACCTGGGCACACACTTAGACAAAAGAGCCAAGCCTTACCTTTCAACCTTCCTGCTGCATTCTTCAGAAACACACTCCCATCACGTACAAGCTTCTTCCGTTTCAAATCTTCCTTGGCAAACATCTGACCACTCTTCATCCTCATGATTGACTTGCTATCTGTCTTTGTATAAATCTCATTGAGACGCACTTTCTTTTCATAACTTGCCACTTTGCTGTCTACAGCTCCAATCACATCCTTCACCAGGCTCAAGGACTGTGCTAGATCTTCCTGCTCCACTTCATTGTCTTGGAAGGAAAGAATAATTCTGCTTTTTATGGCTCCTTTTGGACCAGGGAAGAAGCAAGGGAATCCTGACTTCTCACTCCATATCATCTTTTCCCTTGTGACTATGCTATCAGAGGGAAGCCAACACATCAGAGGTCATGTGCCTATCCCTCTTGCTGTCATAAGTTTGATTCTAAAAAAAGCCAGAAGTTTTCAATGATTTAAATAATATGCAATCATATGTTGTGCTCTAAAATAAAAGGAACTAAATACTTCTAGGACGAAGGTAGCAGCAGGAAGAGCAACCAAGTTTTTTTAATTTGTATCTTTGTGTTACTTAATGTAACTTCTGGGAAGAACTGGTGGAAATTATCTCCCAGCCTAGTGATAAGAGAATAGTGTTCAGGTCATTGAACTCTGGATGGAATCAATGTGGTCCCTTTCCTTCTTGCTATCATCTACCCTAAGTCTGGTAACATAACAGTCCAAATTTTCATTCAAGAAAATTATTTTCAAGATAAAACACAAGGTCTCTTTTAGACCTACTAGAGCATGAAACAGCACTTCCATGGGGCCTCCAGTACTACTGGCCACAAAGGAAACAGTCCATTGCCATACAAGACTGGGTTAGAAAGGAGACTTACCTTTGGTACACTGCAATATTCTTTGGAATAAAACTGGGTACTTGGTAATCCGCTGAGTTACAAGCAATATGCACTCTGGAATTCCAAGCCTTCTAACAACTGAACTGCTCATCTTCTTCTGCAAGGGAGTAAACAGACTGTGAGGAATCACATGAAAAAGGCTCTAGTGAAAGCCGACAGGGACACATTGCTCTCAACAATGACGGGGGTTTTCATGTTTCTTATCAATACCTTTACAAAGGCTTGAAAACGCTTATCCTTGGCATAAAGGTCTTTGAAGTAGTTTACAGACTGGTTATGTTGCCCACAAAACTTGCCGTACGTCTTCTTTAAACGTTCTGCATTCTCACCTGAAAACTGCAGAGAAAAGAGAACAGAAGTCATGCCATGGGGCACCAAACTCGTAATGCCATTTTGTAAAATGTTTCCAGTCTACTTGTAAAAGTCAAAAGTGCTTCCTCATAAATTCGCCCAAAAGAATGAAATGGTGCAGCAGCTTTGGAAAGCAGTCTGGCAGTTACTCAAGAGGTTCAACTTTAAATAGGCAGACTATATGGCATACGGATTAAATCTCAATAAAGCTGTTATACAGATTTGAAAAACAACAAAAAATTACAGAAATTTTATGTACTGTGCACATAGGAAATGTAAAATGTATTCTAACTTCTATTTGTCATAAACAGTAATAAAACAATGAGATTCAGTAGGAGTTTTTCACGAGACAATCTTAAATACCTGACCTTGATAAGTTAGACAGATACCACAAACAGCCCTCATTACCTAGGGATCTGTTTGTACTACTTACTTCAGGCCAGTAGTCCTAATAATTCCACGAGGCCCTTAAATCATTCCCAAATGTGTGCAATCTCAATGGTTCATCTGAACGTATGTTCACTTTGTGGTAAATCAATGAATTTCTGTATGCAGTTCATCAAATACATGCTAAGCATTGATTTCCATGTACTAAAAACCTCCAGAGGCAACACAAATTGATCCTTACCAAAAAACTGGAAAGAAGGATTAGGGTAGCTTTTCCCTTCACCATTTACCAATGGAAGAGCTGAGACAGTAAGTTATCTGCTCATATGACAAAGCAAATGCCCCAAAGGTTGATCCTAGCACTGGCAGCACACAGAACCAGCAAATGGAAACTACAGGTTAAACGGTGAATTCTAGCATCAAAGATCTTACTACGGGTTGTACACAAGTGCGAGGAGGTACAAATGGTAATACAAGTCAAAGTTTGATGAAGTACTAAGTTAGATGAAGTAAAAGTTAGATGAAACCAGAAAGGAGGGGCAGAGAGAGAGAAATGAAAATGCCCGAGGGGATGTTTCAGGAGGAAAGGTCATCATTTGTAGGTCTTACTTTTAAGCTCTATCTGTTGCAGCTATCTGTGTTCAAACATTTACCACACCGCATTTGCATTTATTTCATAACATGCTTACTTTTACTCCTAGAATAGGAGTTCCCTGAGGCAGAGGCCTAAGCCATATCATCCCCCTTTGTAGTTCCACCTGGCATTTAATAGATGCTCAGTAAATACCTGAAAAACGAATGAGTGAATGTGCTAATAAATTAATGAAGTGAAGGGTATGGGCTCAAGAATACAAAGGAAAGACAAAATGTACAATTCTCAGACAAATGTTCCAGCAATTAAGCCTCTGCTTCTACACAGCAGCAGATATTTGCCCAAAATCTTTGGGGAATCTGCATCTTTGGGGAAATATCTAGTCAGATGTACATGTTATAACCTTCTGCCTGTAAAGATTATACTGGCAATGTGTTTTTCAAGAATAATATTTTTAAAAGAAACATTAAAATCTGTCTATGATAATCACATCTAAAAGTACCAAAGTAACTTTTAGCTGAATTTTTTGGAGTATGACTAAAACCATACCACACCTTGATGAAAGTATCAACAATACATATTTTATTAAGTATTTTACAGATAGTCACTTATTCAATTTTCTGTGCTTCAGCTGGTTTTTAGATACATGAGATCCTTCTGATTTGAGGCAGAGGGGAAAGTTGAAGATTTCCAACACACACTGTAAACACACACACACACACACACACACACACACTTTTTTTTTAAAATTTTGAGTTGGGGTCTCATTCTCTGCCTAGGCTGGAGTACAATGGCACAATCACCACCACGGCTTGCTGCAACTTTGAATTCCTAGGCTCAAGTGATCCTCCCACCTCAGGATCCTGAGTGGTTGGGACCACAAGTGCGCACTACCACACCTGGCTTTTCTCATTTTTTTTTTGTAGAGACAGTTCTTGCTACGTTGCCCAGGCTGGTCTTGAACACCTCGCTTCAAGCAATCCACCTGCCTCAGCCTCCCGAAGTGTTGGGATTACAGGTGTGAGCCACTGTGCCCAGCCCCAAATATTTAAATATTTTTCAATTTTTTTTTTTTTTTTATGAGCCAGAGTCTCACTGTCTCCTGGGCTGCAGTGCAGTGGCACGATCTCCGCTCACTGCAACTTCTGCCTCCCAGGTTCAAGTGATTCTTGTGCCTCAGCCTCCCATATGCCACCACGTCTGGCTCATTTTTGTATTTTTAGTAGAGACGGGGTTTCATCATGTTGGCCAGGCTAGTCTTGAACTCCTGACCTCAAACGCTCCGCCCTCCTCGCCCCCCAAAGTGCTGGGATTACAGGCTTGAGCCACTGTGCCTGCCCACATTTGTTGATATCTTAAACTAGACTGTTTCTGATGATGGCACAGACTGAGGAAGAAAAACTAAGTTTTACTGCGCATCTATCATATGCATTAGGTAGTTTATATACACACTCCCTTTAACTTCCAAAATAACATTATGAGAGAAACCCTACATCTGCATTTTACAGAAAAGGAAATCAAGGCTCCAGAGAAATTAAATAAGTTCCCTGAGCTTACACAGACAATAAATGGTAGAAACAAGATGTGAATTCATGGCTATGGAACCCCATAACTTCCTCTTTTCCCAATGTATATAAGAACCTGAGATCTTTCCTATTCTCACCTGATTAACAAGCACATCCCCTATCCTCTTGATGAGAAAGTTCTTTTCACTTTTATCCACCAGAGACTCCTCCTTCCGCTCCAGAATCCTCTGAAAGAATTGGCTATGGATACTGATCAGCTCATCCAAACAGGGGAACAGCTTTTCTACCATCTGCTGCTCAAAAAGCAGATCCATCATCATCCCCCGGCTGTACACATCACTCATGATCTTGAGAGTGCGGACATGATGTAACTCTGTCTGCATCAGCTCTAAAAGGAGGAAAAAGATCAAGGGTCAGGAACACTCTTTCATGAGGATTCTCCCTCAAAGATCATCTGCTGCAGTCCCAAAGCTAGTTCAGAGCCCAGTTTGAACCTTAAAATTGGGTCAATAGCTATCTTTCCCCTAAAGTGTTCTCATTTTTTTTTTTTGAGACAGGGTCTGGCTCTGTCACCCAGGCTGAAGTCATGGCTCATTGCAGCCTCGACCTCCTGGGTTCAAGCGATCTTTCTGCTTCAGACTCCTGAGTAGCTGGGGCTGCAGGTACACACCATCATGCCTGGCTGATTTTGTATTTTTTGTAGAAACGGGGTTTCACTATGTTCCCAGGCTGGTCGTGAACTCTGGGCTCCAGTGATCCACCCGCCTTGGCCTCCCACAGTGCTGGGATTACAGGTATGAGCCACTGCGCCTGGTCAAGTGTTTTAAACTTATTCCTCCATTTTTTATGAGTCCTATTTTCTGATAATAGGTACACCGAATTCCATCAGTCTTAAATTATTGATTTCCAAAGAGGCCTTCACTGGATTCAGGACCTGTCATAACTGACTGTATACCCAGTTCTAGGAAATGACTTGTTAAGTTTAGTCTAGTTTTTAGCGTAGGTAAGGAACAAAACTGAGATATCTCTTTCTAGGACTGCTGTATAAATAAGCACTCATATATAAGTACCATGTTCAGTAGAACTGAAAAAAGAAGAGTGGGACAAAAAGGAGATAGGATACAAACAGGACCATGTCTCTGTACCTTAAAGTTTTTAAAGGAAATCTTTTCAAGAAGTCACATACTAAAAAACTGATTTTCCATAGCGCAATAAATTACCGCTTAAAAATGCTGGACAATGCAAATCAAATATAATCAGAGCAAAATGAAGAATCTCACCATATATTACTTCTTGCCGTTTGACCACATCTTTCTTTTGCTGTTTTAGAAACTTGCTGTCTATTATTCGACTCCAAGACTCTGCTTCCAGCTGTTTGGAATCAATCTCAAAGTCTCCCAGTAGCTGTCCTTCATTCATGTCTGTACCTACTCCTCAATATATTAAAAAATCAGTATCAGAATCTTGGGTTTGTGACCTGTAGAATAAGCCTATGTTGAACTTTCCTCAAGATGACAGTTGATTTCATAAGATGCATGAATACAGGGGATATTCACAGAGAATACAGGGGATATTCACAGAGAATACAGGGGATATTCACAGGGAATATTCACATATGCCAGTACCAGAAAAAAATATCTTATTCAGGAGTGACAGACTCTACATTCGAGGTTTTGGTTAAGAGTAATAAACATGACATAAATCCAACATGATTAAGACATGACTTCTATCTACATGAAGTTAAGAATTGGAAGGGACCTAGTACCTTTTCATATTTAAGAGAGCAGGATTACAATTGCTTTGTGAGCTAGAACTGTACATGTACAAAAGTCTAAGGGAAGAAAAAGATTTGTACTAAAGAGTATGCCCACATTGAAATAAATGACATCCTTTACTTGACAGCTGCTAGATGAGTTTGATTACCCAGTCATTATAAAGCACTGGACACTTTACTGACAATTTAGAGAATCTTCACAGGTTACAGAAGAGGCAGGCACTAACACTCCATTAAGACTTATATTCTAGGTAATGGCACACACATTAAAAGTCCCTACAGAGGCATAAAATGTAGGCCATAACTTCCTCTTACCCTCATCAGTAAGTGATTCTGTTGATTCATTGACCTTGCTGATTTTATTTAGTGAGTCTGTTGAATGAGACAGGAATTTCCAGGTGTTTGACATGTTCTCATCATTGCCAACTCTGGGGACAAAAAAAAAAAAAAAAAAAAAATTCCATACTGTCAAATACATTCTGATAGCCTATGGCTTGCATTCTTAAATGAGTACCTGAAGACTCCAGAATGACAACTGGCTGGAAGTACTACAGTGACTGAAGACAAATTGCTTATGTTGGGGCCACAGCAACATGCACACTGCCTGGTAACAAAGTCTAGAGCATTTAGTATCATTGTAGACCCAAATTGTGAGGACTTTTTGAGCCTTTTTAAAGAAAGTGATAAGAAGCAAGGGGGAACTTTCTTCCATCAAACCATGTACACATTATATAAGAAACTTTCTGTTTAAAACTTATTGCCTAACCAGTACACTTTTTTTTTTCTGTTCTCTAAATAACTACCGATCTAGCACTTAGAATCAACTACATTCTCTTTGGACTTTCTCAATCCTAACTCACTAACTAGCACAGCAGGCAACCAACTGATGTGTGAGTAGGCACAAAAGCAAGAACACTTTAAAGACCCACTTTTGAAAGTTACAATGTATACAAACTTCAGTAACATTACAACTTTTGAAAAGTACACTTTTGGAAATAATGAGAACATAAAGACAAAACAAAACAAAAATACCTGAAACTTTTTAAAGAAGGAGAAAACATTAGCCAGCACAGAGGTTAGGAATTACAAAAAGGAGACTTTTGCATAGTTAGGAATTTTGCTCCAAGATAGGTTAAAGAGATACTCTGAGTCCTACATTTGAAATGGCTTATTCACCTGATGGGAAGGCAGGCATCTTACCCAAAATAGTCAGCAACATCATTATCAGCCCCCTGTTAACCACCTGACAGCCCAGGCCTGGCCAGGAGACCAGTAAAAATACTCAGTGCAAACCAGTGAGTGGGAACCTAATAGTAATAATTGGCTCAGCACTCACCTCCATGAAACTGACTTAAGTGTTAAGAGGCAAAAATGTAAAACAGAGATAAGAAACAAAACAACCAGGTTTATCTGAACAACAGAAAAGCATGACATCTGTAAGTGGTTGCAACCCAAAATTCTGAATTAAATCACCCTTTTTCTTATTCCTACTTATTTTGATCTAAAAAAAATCATCTTTTGAGAACTCAGATTCTTCAAAAGTAGAGCTGATGATATACAAAAGCCTACAGCAACCAGCCTGCTAAGGGTATTTAAAGGAGATCCTTGCGACAGAATGACCATTACGACATGTACCAAAAACATAATCCCCATCATCCTTGTCTGCACCAACCCATGACTTTATAGATTTATTTCTTAAAAAAAAAAGCTTTTTGTCAAATGATGTGATTATTATGCTCTTGTCACCTAGATGCCAACTGTGCTATCTTTAAATATCTCCGCTTACCCAGTAATGTTCTGTATGGAGACACTTTTGGAGAGCGAGACACTCTGCTGGGACCGTCTACTGGCAAATATCGGGGTGGTAGTGGTTTCATCCACCAGGAGGACTGCGGACCGAGGACGCTCCTTGGGCTGTGCGGCTGCAAAAGGAGGACACTAACTGAAGCATCACTCATCCAGTCCCACCTAGTACTGACCCATCTGACAAATAATAAGCAGAAGTAAGGCGCTTTACAGTAGATTTGCCCTGGAACTGTAAGTTGGTATAAAAACTCCATGGAGGATAGTTTGGTGATAACTACTGAAATTGTAAATGCCTATGTTCTTCGATCCAGCAATTTCACTTTCAGGCTATGTTTATTTTTCAAGATATACTTGTATATTCGTGAAATGATGTTATGTCCAAAGTTATTCAATGCAACACAATAGGTAAAAGCAAAAGACTGGAAAAGACGCGAGTATCACAAGACTGGTGAATAAGTTATGGTACACCACATAGCAGAATACAATGCCACTTACAAAAAATGAGGACTACTTTCTAAGTACTGACACAGATAGGTAGATCTATCTCTAAGATCTATTAAGGGGAGGAAAATCAAAGTGCAGAACAAAATATGTAACAGGCTATCTTTCATGCTTAAAAGAAAGAAAAATAATCCAAGTTGTATTTACTTTAACAGGCGAACTCCAGGAAAATAAATTTAAAAAAAACTAAGAAGAGTGGTTACCTCTGGGATGGGATAGGCAATGGGGATAAAGAATCCTGTGGGAGTATTACGTATTTTAACATTTAAACTGCAAATAAAATTGAAATACTTTCTTTTTTTTTGAGATGGAGTCTTGTTCTGTCGCCCAGGCTGGAGTGCAGTGGCGCGATATTGGCTCACTGCAAGCTCCACCTCCCAGGTTCACGCCATTCTCCTGCTTCAGCCTCCCGAGTAACTGGGATTACAGGCGCCCGCCACCATACCCAACTAATTTTTTATATTTTTAGTAGAGACAGGGTTTCACTATGTTGGCCAGACTGGTCTCAAACTCCTGACCTCGTGATCCGCCCGCCTCGGCCTCCCAAAGTGCTGGGTTTACAGGCGTGAGCCACCGTGCCTGATCCCAAGATTGAAAGAATTTTAAGGGTAAAAGGAACCTTAGAGATAACTGGGAGCAGCGTTCTTTAGGAGCGTTCACCATGAAAACATCTAGAGTGCCGTTAGATATGGAATCTCAGCCCCCCACCTTGTCTTCTGGGGGTGGAACCCAAGAGTCTACATATCTTACAGGCTCAAGTGATTCTTCTGCTCACTGCTAGAGAGCACAGATTTTGATGATTTCCTTTAATTTACAGATGAGGAAAATGTAACACTTGTTTAACATCTGTAACTATAGATGACCCTTGAATAACATGGGTTTGAACTACATAGATCCCCTTATATGTGAAATTTCTTCTGCCTCTACCACCCCTGAGACAGCAAGACCAACCCCTCTTTTCCTCCTCTTCCTCCTTCTTGGTCTACTCAATGTGAAAACGACAAGGATGAAGACCTTTATGATGATCTACTTCCGCTTAACAAATAGTAAATATATTTTCTCTTGAGTATGATTTTTAAAATAACATTTTTTCCTTTGGCTAAATTTATTGTAAAAATATACTATATAAGACACATAACAAACAAAATGCATTAACTGGCTGTTTATGTTACTGGTAAGGCTTCTGCTCAACAGCAGGCTATTAGCAGGTAAGCTCTGGGGGAGTCAAAAGTTTTATGTGGATTTTTGACTGCATGGGGGCGGGGCTAGCACACCCATCATCTGAGTTATTCAAGGGTCAATTCTAATTTGTTCTCACAGTGCGTATTTCTCATTAACATGACTAAAGAGGAAACTAGAGATCTAATTTGCTAAAGTGGTCACGCTGGCACTTGGGAACATTTTTCCTTGGTAACTGACTTGCGTCCCATTCACAGGCTGCATTGTCTGTCCACCCCCAGGAGTGTCAAGAGGTGAAGGAAATAAGATTGGGGTGGTAGTTATGACTTCACAGTATTTCAGGATGTCTTTGACTCAATAAGCATTAATAAAATCATTAATTTCCAATTCAAATTCTATTTACAAGATGATGACACAATAAAACAGCAGAAACCCAACATACTACAACCCGACCAGATTCTAACTGCAGGAAGTACACAAGGGGTATGGGATGTGGATCTACCCCTCTTCCCCCACCCCCATCCCCACCCAAGAGGAAAAAAGCAAGTGGGTAGAAAAGAGAATGAGCTTAAGAGTTAAAGGGCCTGGGGCATAGTCTGAATGTTTCTGAAGAGAGGTCAGTGAGCAGATAAAATCGGACGGAGGAAGAAAACACTAGTTCTTGAAGAATGGCAAGGATGTGGATGGGTCAGAAGAAAAATAGAGGACAATTCTGATGAGAAGAACCGTGGGAATGAAGACAGAAGTAATTATGTAGTATTAATGTAGAAGGGAGACACAGGATAGAAAAGGAAGCAGGTAGAAGGAATCAATGAAAAGTCTGGAAAAGCAGAATGATGTTAGGCAGAGCTCATAATAACTTGTATCTAAAAGCCAGCATGGGGGAAGAAAATAACCGCTCTCTTTATTTGTAACCAATCCATATTCTACCTAAGTAAGTGACTCAATATTGCTGCTTCCTTATTTGTGATGATTATAGCAGTGAAAACTAACACTTAAGGAGTGTTTACTACTAAGTACTTTACAGGTATGATCTGATTTAAACCTGACTACCACACTATGATACTACTATCATCCCCTTTTACAGAGGAAGAAAATGAGGCACAGAGAGGTTTGGTAATGTCCACAGTTACACAGCTATTAAGCAGTGGTGTCAGACTTGAATCTATATAATTAGAATTCACAATCTGTACTCTAGACCACTATGTTGCCTCAGTGGAGTACAGTAGGAATAAAAATATTTGTGGCAGGGCCAGGTACGGCGGCTCACACCTATAATCCCAGTACCCTGGGAGGCCAAGGCAGACGGATCCCTTGAGGTCGAAAATTCGAGACCAGCCTAGCCAACATAATAAAACCCCATCTCTACTAAAAATACAAAAATTAGCCAGGTGAGGGGACGTGCACCTATAATCCCAGCTACTTGGGAGGCTGAGGCAGGAGCACTGCTTGAACCTAGAAGGCGGATGTTGCAGTGAGCAGAGATCATGCCACTGCACTCCAGCCTGGGCGACAGAGCAAGGCTCTGTCTCAAGAAAAAAAAAAAAAGAAGACTTGTGGGGGTCGAAGGTAATAGTCAAGAACCTTGCACATAATAGGCATGTTTTTAAGACATGAAAATAAGAAAGAAAACAGACTTATGAAACAACAGATAATGTCACAAAAAAAAGCATTTAAGGAAGCTAGACATAAAAAGCATGTCGAATGGGTGAGATGACAGACTGAAATGGGTGTCAACCTGGAGAAGCTCCTCTTCTAGTCATCTACATGTGAAGATGGATAATAACCAGATTAAACATGATTAAAGGGAATCACACTCTTGTGGGAGTGAAGACTAGTACAGCCATTCAGGAGCTATCTGGAGGTACTCAGAGAAATTAGGCACAAAGCAGTGGTTTTCAAGCTTAAGTGGGCATCAGAATCACCTGGAAGATCTATTAAGACACAGACCAGGCTGGGTATGGTGGCTCATGCCTATTATCTCAGCACTTTGGGAGGCCAAGGCATGAGGACTGCTTGAGGTCAGGAGTTTGAGACGAGCCTGGGCAACATAGTGAGACTCCAACTCTACAAAAAAATTTAAAAATCAGGTATGGCACCTGGAGTGCCAGGAACTCAGGAGTCTGAGGCGAGAGGAGTTCCAGAGTCCAGGAGTCTGAGGTTACAGTGAGCTAAGATCACACCACTGCACTCCAGCCTGGGTGACAAAGCAAGACCCTGTCTCTATTAAACACACTCCCACGCACCACAAAAACACACAGAATGCTGGCCCCATCCCACAGTTTGTGATTCATAGATCAGGGTAGGGCCTAAGAATCTCTACTTCTAAAAAACTACGTTTTCAAGAACATTGCCTGGGGAAGGTCTCACAGAGGCTCCCATGGAACCAGCTAACGAGATATTAATCACTGCATTATTTATAGTAGCAGCTGGAAGCAATGTAAATATTCTGTCTCTAGGGGAACTTAAAATGTGAAATATGCTTATGAAAGAATAGCCTGCCACAGTCTGAAACAACAGCGTACAATAATAACATGCATATCTCAAAACGGTATTGAGTGAAAAAAATAAGCAAAATATATGTCATATTATCGAATTTAAATTCACACAAAATAATACTTTTTTTCAAAGTATACATATGTCTAACAATATGGCAGATTAGAAGGACATACATTAAATATACTATAGTGGGAATGAGACAGGGAATGGGGAGTGAAAAGGGAAAAGTATCAGTAAAACCAAAGTGGAGTCTTGTATGCACTGTTGAAAATAGTTTGATGTGAACGGAAGAGTGTGATTTACCCAATTCTGAGTAACACTTGAGGTCCTTAGAAATAATAAAAAAAAGAACCATTTTCTACAACTTCTCAGTTTACAAAGAAGTTTAGGCTGGGCATGGTGGCGCGTGCCTGTAATCCCAGCTACCAGGGAGGTTGAGGCAGGAGAATCACTTGAACCCAGGAGGCGGAGGGTGTAGTGAACCGAGATCGTGCCAGTGCACTCCAGCCTGAGTGACAGAGCAAGATTCCGCCTCAAAAAAAAAAAAAAAAAAAGAAGTTTAACAAACCAGATCTCATTCGATTCGTATGATTGTAAGGCACTGCAAACAGGTCTTTTAATTCCCAACTATTATTAAAGAGGAAATTGAGATGCACAGGGGTCACTTGCTTAAACACACAGGGCAAGGTGCTGCCTTTAAGCTAATATACAGACTGTTTTAGAAACCTTCCAAGAGGGTCTGATGGTATAATGCTCAGGTATGGGTCAAGCAATCTGCAGGATAAAACAGCAGCCTTCTCTCACCACAAAATAGGTATTCATATCTTGACTATGAATAATAATTGAATATTACAACAGCATTTTCACATTCAGAACCAGAAAGTCAGAAAGGGAATTGAGAGGTGGGCTGAGCTACTTACGCTTGTTTCTCATAATGACCGTGGGTAGTGATGATGTGTCATGTGCCTGAAGGCTCCCTTTGGGCTGCTAAAGAGAAAGAAAGTAAGTCCATTGACAATTCACCTCTGTCAAGCCCTGAGAAGCGGAGAAGGAAGGGAGCAAGCAGTTCAGCTTCCTTTCCCACTCTGCTTTCCGCACTGCCCTAAGCACCCTGTGTCCCAGCCATAGTCGCCCTCAATTGCCATCCTCTAAACCTGCCACATACTCCGATGCTGTCTATCCTGCCTGGAATGCTTTTCTCACCTTCAGAGGCATGGCATTCTTCCCCTTCAAGACTATTTAAGTGTTGCCTCCTTGGTAAAGTCATCTATAGCTTCTCTCCTCTCCTCATCCAAGACAGTGACTGGCACCCCTTTCTCATTTATAGTAACTGTCTGCCTATCTTCCCCAGTAGATTGCTGGTGCCTTAAGGGCAGCATCTTTTGACTTTTGCATTTCATTTCCAGTAACTAGCATTTATAAGGTGCTGAATTATTGGGTAAAATACTAATTTCAGTTAAGACTTTTGCTGTAGCCATGTAACAAAAATACCTTGAGAAATTATAGATTGAAGCAATTAATCTGAGATAGGTTACTTCCTATTTAAAATGAAATTCCAGGCAGGGTGCGGTGACTCATGCCTGTAATCCCAGCACTTTGGGAGGCCAAGGCAGGTGGATCACCTGAGGTCAGGAGTTCGAGACTAGCCCAGTCAACATGGTGGAACTCTGTCTCAACTAAAAATATAAAAATTAGCTGGGCATGGTGGCAGGTGCCTGTAATCTCAGCTACTTGGGAGGCTGAAGCAGGAGAATTGCTTGAACCTGGGAGGCGGAGGTTGCAGTGAGCCAAGACTGCACCATCTGCACTCCAGTCTGGGTGACAGAGCGAGACTCTGTCTCTAAAATAAAATAAAATAAAATTCCCCCTTTTAGGTTATATTCTCTCATATGGGAGATGCTATATCTCTATTATGATCATTCTGTATAAACTAGTACATTCACAACAATTGAGTCTTACCAGAGATCACAAACTCAAATGACTATGGTGCCGGCAGGTAACAAATGACAGAAGCAAGCTGGGGTGGGGTGGGGTGTGGGGAGGCAGTGGCGGCCTGGAACTGGCATATCCTGTCTAAAAGAGGCAGCACCACTCAGCTCCAGCCATCCCTCCCTCCCTGCAGGCTCCACTGATGGAGCAGACTCCTGCCTTCAGCCTGCTTAATGAGTTTGGAGCTTATATTCTAGTGGGGGGAAGATACAGACCATAAGAAATCTATGTAATAATAAATAAAGATGGGTAAATACAGACTCTAAGAAGGTGGTAACTACTATGGAAAAAAGGAAAACCTGGGAGTGCTGGGTACTGGGAAATATCAGGGGGCCGGGGGTTATAAATCTTCCAATTTTTTCAGGAGAACTTAAGAATCCAGACTGATACAAAACATGATTTTGAAAGAGCTGCACTAACTCACATTTTAAAAGTACTACATGAGCCAAACAAAATATATGTCCATGGGCCGAAGAAGATCTGGGCTATCCTATTTTTTGCCATTTTGATGCTAGTTTTAGTGCTTCTCAAAGTGAGGTCCTTGGACTATCAGCATCATCTGGGAACTTCCTAGAAATGCAAATTCCTGGACTTTCCTCCAGAATCTGAAACTCTGGGAGTGGGGCTCAGTAAGCTGTCTTTCAATAAGCCCTTGAGTTGATTCTGATGCACATTCCAGATTGAGGTCATGGCACTAGATAACTGTTTGGTGACTGACGAAGCACACAGCTCATTAATCATCTGTGTCGACATAGTTGGAAAGCATTCCTTTGACGAGGAATGAAGAGACACAGGTGACTAGAACACTGAAAACCTCACAGGCTGCCTAAAAGGTATGGCCCCCAACCCATACTTTTTTTTTTAAAGGCCACTGGAAAAGCATGACTACATAGCATACATGTTCAGGGCAGATACCATCATAAAACAGGCACTTTCTATTCTTACATCATGTGATCAGAGCCACCTGTATTATGTACCTGAGAAAAGTGCTACCAGACAGGCTAGGGCTAACCGTAACACCCTCCCCACCCCCACCAGCAGATCAATGCCCCTGACCTCCACCTGCTGCCCTGATGGTCCTGAAGGAAGAAGACAAGTGTATGAGAAAACCACTTTAATAGCAACACGGAAATATAAAAATCGCGAAGAAATGTATATTGAACATGAAGAAGTTCTGAAAGCATTTTCTTTCCTCAAAGTCTAATTCCCCAGTATTACTCAAGAAGAGGATTGATCGCTTAAGAGAAAAAATATTTTTTAGTTATAATTCGTTCTCAAAGTTGGTACCGAATGATTAAAATAAACAAAATCCACCACAACCTCAACTCTCCCAACTCCTGAGGATCTTGCTCGTTTAAACTCTTTTATTTTAAGCCTTCTTTTAGCCAGAAAGTCTTACCTTCATTTTGACCTTTGCACAGGAGGCTAGACTTTCTCGGCAGCCTTTGTGGACAAAAGCACTGCAATCTGAAAAGAAAGCAAACCCAAGGTCACATGGACAAAGCAAACAGATTCCAGATTCTGAGTTTCCACTGCTGCCACAAGTGGCCTCTGAATTTCAAAGTGAAGTCACTCACATGTGAGAGTGTGACTAACTGAAATTACAGATTGCAGTCCTCTTCTAGGAAGCAGGTCTGTGATGTTATTTGGAGGAGGAAAAACATGAGCAGATGTGATTTTTTTTTTTTTTTTTTTCCCAGTGTTGTGTCTTTATTTGGAGACTGGGAGACAGATTACAGCTTAATGAGAGGAACGACGACTCAAGTGATCTCATGGGAAGGGTGAGTTTCCTGGCCCTCAGGGAGTGACAGATGTGATTTCTAATTAACAAAAACTAGTAAGTCTGGAACTTCTCAGACAGGAAGCTGAGAGGCTACCAAAACTAAAAGTGAAAGTGTCTGCCATCAATGTGTAAGTCTAAATTACAAATAAATACATAAATAAAGCCCCCAATAGGGGTTACGAAATTTGTATGACTGTAATAAAGCACAGAATATAAAATCTGAAAAGTTTAACTACGCTGGGCTTTTTGCAACCCATTCTCTGAGACAGGAACCACACACGAAAGGTCATCAGAACCCCACATGCACCTCTGGGAACTGTGACTTAAGAGAAAAAGGAGACTTCTTGAAAGATAAAGCAGAGACCACAATTTGGCAAGGACAGCATTGTATCTTAATTCCTTTACTTTTCACTCCCTTGGCTGACAAGGGCCACTGACGTAAAAACCCAGGCCTCTGTGTCCAGAAGGCTTACCATCAGCTCTCAGTGCTGCTATAAAGTCACATAACAGAACCGTTCCAGGAAGCCAGAGGTAAAGCAGAAACAAACGAAAGATCTGTCTGTGGGGACACTCGAAGAGGAGACACTCTCATGGGAAGGGCTCACTCAGAAAATCAACCACAGATACCATTCAATAGGCAATGCCCCACAGACTGATTCAGGAAGCGTCACAGGTCCTGTCTATACCAACTCACCAGTTAGGTGCCAACATCTCTTTAGCCCAGACGTATGGATTTGGGGGTGACTGGAGTGGTGATGGGGAGGGGAGGAAACCAGAAAGGAGACTGCTAGAATCCCAGACCTCAAAGGCCTTTTCCATTCCTTTTGTAACACTTCCTTTAACAACCACTTGGTTCACAGGTCTCCTCCTTAATACCACCCTATTACAGCCTTGATTACAGTATGTCAAATATCAATTTAGTAACACAAAAGGACAAACAGCTGTCAAACTAAATCTGACGTAGGTCCTGGCTTTGCTTATTAGTTAGTATGATCCTAGCACAAGTCCCTTCTGGACAGGCCCCTGTTTCCTCATCTATAAAATTAAAAACAAGGAACCACATTTTCTCCCAGGTTCCCTCTGCTGTGATTCTATTAGATGGGTAAGTGAGTTTCAGGCTGCTGGACCCACAGCAAGAAGTATAACAAAGTGGTCGAGGCAAATGACTTTATTTATTTTCTAGTAAGCCAAAATGTGTTTCTGCCCATCCTCACAAGCACTATTCTTACTCAGGGTGTATGGTGCACCTCCCCTCCTCTGCCACAGAGATGCCTGGGACTTGCAGCTGGCATGCTCCTTTCTGGTTTCTTCCCCTCCCATTAGTTGATCCATCATCTCCTTCTCATGCACAGACTTGAAAGCCCACCGCATCCAAACCCTTTCTCTTCACAAATCCCAACTCAGCTAAAGTCTTTCAAATACATCATCTTTAAGTCCATTTCTCTTTCCCTTCTACAGAAAAAGTATGCAAAGACTATGAGCAGGCAAAGTTAATGATTAGTAGATCTATGTTTTTCAGCATGCTGAATCCTCAATATATAATACTGAAGAGAATAAAGCAAATTGCAAAATGAGAGGTATTGTATGGTAGCATTTATGTAAGCTAAAAACAAAAACAAATTATATGTTGTTTATGTATGAGAATAAATTATAAAACACAGACTACAAATGCACTGAATTCATGATAGTGCCTGTCCTTGGGGAGGAAGGAAGATGCATGGGGCAGGGAAACAAAGGGGAATCCGAACTTAATCATAATGGTTTCTTAAAAAGTGAAACAATCTGAAGCAGTATGACAGAATATTACTATGTGTTCATTTTGAATCATGGACACATATGTGTTAAATTACCTATGTACAATACTTTGTATTAACATTTTTCAAAATTAAAAAAATTTTTAATTTTTAAAAAATCATCACACTCTGTCTTTCAAAGTTCCTTGGATTTGCTTATAAGCATTTCCATATCCTTTTGAATAATCCATTTATCACATCTTGTGATAACTTAAAAATAAAATTTTATTGTCTTATAATCCAGTTATAAAAGCACATTTTTTTCTTGTGTTTTATTGAACGTCTAGAATATTTTAGGCACTTAAGGGCAACACAGGAGGTGGTAGATTTGCTAGAGAACCAGCTACTAACTCTGATCTGCAAAAGTGACCAAGAACCCTATGGGCAAAATTTGTTTCCAAGTTCTGTTCTTTCTGTTCCTTTCTTCCCAGCCAATTCCAACACCCTACAGAGATTTAAACAATGATGATTTTTAAGGGAGTGGCACTATCACTTTTAAAAAGGCTTCAGCAATATTCAAACTCTCAGGCTAGTGTTTGAGTGTCTGAGATGAATCATAAAAGCAGAAAAAAAAATCATTTAAAATGTGCTTCTAGTAAAGAACTTTTCATATAAATTAACTTTTAATTAATTGAAACGTCCCCAAACCCACAACCCAGTTGGAAGTTTAACAGGCTCTATATTATGGTCATGAGTCTTGTCTTAGTGATAGTTTGCATGGACATCTCCTTAAGATGCTGAAGTACCTACTTGAAAAACACTCAACTTGTTTCCAAGTTGTCCTGGACTCAATTAACAGTGACAGTTTTAGTGCTGTGCGTGGGTGATTTAGAAACTTCAGCCCCACTGACATCAGCTGAAGTCATGAGATTAAAATCTTACTCTCTGTTTGGGAAAACAGAAAATTACCAAGAACACAAGAATTGAAGACAAATCTAATACATTTTTAAGCTCTCTGCCACAAACCATACCATGCTGTTATGAAGATCAGAGAAGAATTATCTGGCCTTTTATTTATTTGATAGATTTCCTAATAGCAGCAGGCAATATGCTTTTATTTTAAAAAATCCTTCAAAAAGGTCTCAGCACAGTGGTTTATGGGAACAGAGCTAACCCCTAATTGGATTCCTCTGAACTTAAAACAAACAGCCCAGCTTTCAACTTCTTTCTTTGCTACAAGGAGGCATCAAACCAAAGAAAATGAAGTTAAATCCACATGACTAGAAACTATCATCTATCTATTGCTGTATCTTTTTTTTAGCCCATGCCACCAACCACCAAAGATCTTTGGAGAATGGTTATATACTATGTGTTTTTTATCTTTGGGAAGAAAAATAAAACAAACCATTAGCGAGGCTAACTTAAGAAAATCAACTTTATAAAATGATAAGAGGAGTGGCTATGCCAAACTGAAATGAAATGACAGAATAGCAAAGGACTGCCTACATAGAAACGAGTCACCTTTGTGAGCTAAGTCATATGTAGCCAGGGCTCTGACAAAAGAGGTCTTCTAGTACTTCAGTCCACTGATCATCATTTGGGAATAGGCTGAAGACTTCTGACTGTTCTGCCTACAGATGTGAGCAGCAAAATCTAACTGGGAAAAATGACCTGACCCTTCTTCAGGACATGAGTTGAAGAATTACCTTTAAGGACAGAAATGTACAACTTTCTCCTATTATTTCAACTCTAATCAAGAAAATGAAAATAAAACAAAAAAGTTAAATATGAGCAAATTTAGAAATGCATTCTACAAAATTCTTTCTGCAACTTCTTGTTTAAAATCTTTAACAAGGGCAACACGCCAAAACCCCACCTCTACAAAAAACACAAAAATTAACCAGGTATGGTGATGCATGCCTACAGCACCAGCTACTTATGAGGCTGAGGCAGGAGGATCACTTGAGCCTGGGACGTCAAGGCTGCAGTGAGCCATGATCACTCCACTCCACTCCAGCCTGGGCAACAGAGTGAGACCCTGTCTCTCAAAAAAAAAAAATTATTAAATATATATATAGTTTATTTTTTTGAGATAGAGTCTTGCTTTGTCACCCAAGCTGGAGTGCACTGGTATGATCTTGGCTCACTGCAACCTCCATCTCCTGGGTTCAAGCGATTCTGCTGTCTCAGCCTCTCGAGTAGCTGGGATTACCGGTCTGTGCCACTACGCCTGACTAATTTTTTGTATTTTTAGTAGAGATGGTATTTCGCCATGTTGGCCAGGTTGGTCTCAAACTCCTAACCTCAGGTGATTCACTCAGCCTTCCAAAGTGCTGGGATGACAGGCGTGAGCCACCGCACCTGGCCAATAAATAAAATCTTTGGGGGATTTGAGACATCGCCCTATCTGGACTAAGAGTGCTTATACGCCAAAGGCATGTGAGATGTTCTTGTAGCTGGTGTAATAACCACAGTGCTGATGTACAGAACAAGAGGAAAGCCACAAAAAAGAGCCAAATCATCTCAGCTGAAGTAGCCCCAACAGCAGTTTTCGTAAGAACACTGGTAAACAAAAATGAAACAAAATGAAAGTGTTCTGCTTAAAAAAGAATTGCCTTTATTGCTTAGGGTCTTTTTTTACCATCCTTTTCCCTAAGTAATAAATTTTCTTCCTTTAATCAATATGCATTTTACTCTCTCACATAAGCAATGAACTATAAATGCCAGAAAACTGTCTGTCCAGAGAGCAACTTTTCCTGATGAAATCAGAAGCAAACTCTAACCATCACACACATTCTAAATTCTTGTGTTTCCTACTTAGATTGCAGCTGGTTTACTTGTTTTTTTTTTACGTAAAAGAAACAACCTACCACAAAAGTACTGAAATGCTGCTAGCACAACAGAAAATAAAGCAGCAATAATCTCAGTATCATTTTACATCTGTTTAAAGC